CAGGAAGTGTGTGGAGTGCACAGTGGGAGCTCTCGGGAGCTGGCCTCTGGGGAGCCCCAGTGGCAGATGTCCCTCCCCGTGGTCAAGCACTGGTGAGGCTAGACCCTCGGGAAGAGTCTGGAAAAGACGTGAGTTTCAGGGTAAGGGCGGGTTCAGACCCTGGCCCAGGGCTGCAGGAAGGAGGGTGAAGCACTGAGGCACAGAGCCCGTCAGTTTCCTAGGCCGCTGCGCCACAGAACCACAAGCCCCTGACCTTGCACTCCTGCAGGACACAAGGCCAGCGCCTCGGAGGGCAGGGCCCCTGGGGCTGTGGGCAGCCTGCTCGCCCAGGGCTCGCCCTTCCTCTGTCTTGACAGGGTCTCCGCCTCACCCTCCTCTCCTGCCTCTTCCTCCTCTGTCTCTGTGATCCCAAGGCCACCAAGAAATCTCTCCATGTCGACCTGAGCCCCCTGCAGACCTCCTTGTGCCATGTGAGGCACATTCTCCAGCTTTAACATGGGCCACCACCAGAATGCCTCCCAGTGACAGTCCTGGCAGGGACCGCCTCCAGTGTTCTGAGCACTTAGGGATTCTGGCCATCCTGCTCATGGTCCAAGTGGTGGCCTTTTACAGAGGCCGAGCTTCAGCCTCCCGACAGGTAAGGACCTGCCCAGGGCCTGACCCAGGGCCCAACTCCGCACAGCCCTTCCTCCAAAGCCCGGAGGGGCCTCCGGGAGGTGCTGAGCCTGCTGGGCTGTCAGCTTCCTCCTGCAGCTGCTGGTGACCAGTGGCCTGGAGATTGCCTACAGGAGCACGCCCTCACCAGCCTCCACCCGGTGTCTGTCACCCACCAGACTCCAGCTGAGCCCGGGCCACCACCCAGTGCAGCAGACAGAGCCGGACCTCCCACGTGTGCGGTAACAGGCTGCACCAGGCAGTGCCGGGCCACAGGAGACCACTTGTCCCTCTGTTTGGAAAGGTTAGGAAGATTTCCCAGAGGGGGGGACATTTAAGCGGAGACTTGAAGGTGAAGAATGAGGAGGATTTTTATCATGTGCAGGAGGCTGGGGCAGGCGGGGAGGACAGATCCAGCAGATGAAATTTCCAATGCAAAAGTGCGTGAGAGAGAGTGAGGGGGAGACGGGAACAGAGAGACAAAGAGAGGAGAAAGGAAGGGAGAGAAGACAAAGTGATTAAAGAGAGAGACAGAGAGAAGAGACAGAGGCAGAAAGAGAACAAAGGCGGAGAAAGGGACAGACATAGAACCAAAGAGACAGAGCCACAGAGAGCCAGAGACGCCCAGAGACCTGGAGTGCGAGACAGCGACGTGGACAGACGCAGAGACAGAGGAGCGGGAGACAGACGGACGGCAGAGTACCCCAGGGAGAATGGCAGCCAAGTGCTCAGAGATGGAAGAAGGCAAGGGGCGAGAGGGCAGCGGAGGCCCCTGCAGAAGTCCTAGGCGGGAGGAGAGCCGGGAGGCAGCCGCACCTGGGCTGGCACGAGCGTCTGAGCATCCTGCGTGGGGCAGGCAGGGCACTTTGGTGCAGAGTGCCAGTCGACGGAGACCTGTCAATGCTGCTGTTGCTGCTGACCAGCTGTGCACCCTTGGGGTTGCTTCTTGGCTTCCTGGAGGCTCACCTTCCTCACCTGGTAATGGGCTAGAGCAGTCATCTCTAGTCCTCAAGATTCCAGGAGGGGTGGCTGACCCTGCCCCAGAGCTTTCCAGGTGTAGCAGTGCCCGAGTGTGTGGGGGGGGGCATCCTGGGTCCTGAAGTCTTCTCTCCCCTCTCAGACCCAGCCAGTGGGCGCTAACCGCAGATGGCAGGGGAACGTGAAGTGACCACAGAACCCCGAGACCTGCACCTCCAGGAAGCCTGGGGATTGGCAGCGGAGGAGGAGCCGGCAGAGAAACCAGCCCGTTTCCAGATGGGCAGAGGCAGCTACCCCGGAAGGGTCCGCTCCTGCCCTCCACTCCCTCTAGTCTCAAGAGAAGATCACAATCCAACAGAGGAAAGACGCACGCACGGGAGTCCATCACCTACACCTTGAACAGCCGGAACACCTGAGCATAGCAAACCAAGCCAGTCAGCTGTGTCCTCGTGTGCTGCACGGTGGAGCCATTAAAAAACACACTTATGAAATGTTGATGGCCTGAAAGATCAGTCATAACAAAATGCAGGGCAAAAACCAGTGCCTGCTTTCTGGTTTCTGAACCACGAATATGAGTCAACCATTTAGAATTAAAAAGAAATAAAAATATGAATTAATAATAATCATACATGTGGCTGTAGGCACATATGAGTGTACATGTGCATCTGTGTGTGAAAGAAAACACACCAGAATTTCATAGATATTATCTCTGGGAGGAAGAATTTTGGATGATTGTTACTTTTTTTACATTTTTACATATTTCCAAGTTTTTATAGTAAACATGGGTTCGTTTTTTTATTCAGAAAATAACTATATGAGTATACACACACATATACACACTAAAATGTGGACAAGCACACACTAAACACGGTGACTCTGAGGTCGTGCCTTGAGCCCTGTGTGGTGTGGACAGCAGCCTCTGGTGGGTGGACTGCGGACCCAACGAGGTGGTAGCTTTCTGGTCATCCCAATCCTGTGGACACAGTTGGCCACGGAACAGTGCAAGCTTCCTCCATCTGCCCCGAGTTGGAAAGTGCTGTGCCCAATCCACAGCAGAGTCACAGTGTCCCAACAGCAGGCTGCTGTGGTTGGACTGTGTCCCCCAAATCAAGGGTGGAAACGGGGTTGGGCAGTGGGGCCTTCAGGGGCCTGCTTGGTGGGTCAAGGCTTCTGTGAAGGAACCCGACAGGGAGTTCCGTTCCCTGCCTTCCGCGGTGGGAGGACACAGCCCTCCTCTCCTCCAGCTCATGCTGGGCTCCAGGCACCATCTTGGATGCAGAGAGCAGCCCTCACCAGATGCTGAATCTGCTGGCTCCTCCACCTGGCACTTCCCAGCCTCCAGAGCGGGGAGAAATACATTTCTACTCTCCTAAGTCACCCAGTCTGGTGGTCTGCTGCGGTGGTCTGCTGCGGTGGCACAGACCAGACTAAGACATGGCCAGAAGTGTCGTTGTTGTTTTTTTAATTTTTAATTTTCTTTTTTTTTAGTTGTGGGTGGACACATACCTTTATTTATTTGTATGAGGTGCTGAGGATTGAACCCAGTGCCTCACACGCACAAGTCTTCGCTCTACCACTGAGCCACAACCAGCCCCCAGAAGAGTTCCTTTTACAATGACCTATGTGCCTCCCAGGCCCTGGGGCTGGGGAGGGAGAGGAGGGTCTTGCCAGAGATGGTAGAGACCGCGCTGCGTGCCACCACTCACAGCCGCCCAGCCCTTTGTCTTCCAGGGGGTTCTGTTCCAGGAAAACGCTCCTGAGAAATTCCCGCTGGACGGCTCAGCTCTGAAGCGTGTAGAGGGGAGGGAGGAGGCAAGAAGAAGGGCCATCGTCTGCCCGATGGTGCCTGGGTGGGGTCCACAGAGCACGAAACCATCTCCAGGTAAATTCTCGCGACCCTCATCCCCCGCTCTCCCTGAAATTCCGCCTGTTTCATGACGGAAATGGACCTCAGAGAAATGCTGCCTTACATGAAAAGGGCTCAGTAAATACACTCCTCAAAATTTTCATTCTTAATATATCAGTAGCTTTTCAGTTCATTATAGTGTTATTAGTCAGTCTTCATAAAAGTGCTATGCATCTTTATTAAAAATGGAAGTTCACATCATTTTATGTTCCCATAAAAATGGGTGGTGGTAGCTTTGATTAATTTCTTCACATACAGTGAACTTTACAGCAAATTGGACAGTGTAATTCAATTCCTATTTCTGCAGATTTTTTTGTTGGTAGAAAATTGATATCATTCATATGTAATCATATTGCCTTTGCAAGAGATATTTAAGAAATAATATCCTGCAGTAACGATCGCGTGGCTTAATTATTAATACCGCGCTTCCACTCACGGCAGTGTGCATTCCTTCACCAGCTCGGCTCCATCAGGAAGTGTCCCTTCAACCTGAGCCCCGCTGCCTGTGTCACCCGTGTGCACATGCGTGTGTGTGATTAGCTCCAAGTGTTTCTTCCCTTAACCGTGCTGAGCCACAGGGCCCCTGGAAGGTCAGGTTTGGAGGTCAAGATTCCCCCACCTGCATCGCAGCACACGCTCTCACGCAGGCGTGCACAGCAGACCAGCATGTGCTCCGGGGCCTCCTGCCCTCTGCCCCTCTAGCAGAGCCACCCTGCACACAGGAGCCTTGCTTCTCACCCACACCTCCTGTACTGCTTCCGAGGGGCTGTGCTGCTTTTGCTTCTGAAATCCCCTCTCCAGATCTTCTTCAGCCTCTTCCTGAGGACACTCCAGCTGGTGAGCTCAGACATGCTGCTAGGACCGGGGGCTGGGCCCAACAGAAAGTGGCACACACTGGGGCTCCCCCTGCCCTGTGTTGGGCTTGGTGCTCTGGAAGGAGCTGGGCCTCTCTTGGTGGCAAAGGACCTGGACTTGGAAGGCCGGTCCCTCTGCCTGCCCTGGGTGGCCTGTAGCCCTCTGCACACGAGCATCTTGCTGCAGGCTGCCCCCTCCAGGCAGGTGCTGGCCGCCCAAGGCTGGCCCTGAGCCCACACTGCAGAGTGCAAGGCTGCATGACCAGCTCTGGGTGGCCGGGCTGCACTGCCCCACTGCGCGCGTGAGAAATGCTTTGGGGAAGTAGCTGGGTGGGCCACACCTCTGTGTCACCTGCTCCCACTCCTCTCCAGGGCTGGGGTCTGAGGTTCTGTCCTAGGTGGCAGCTGAGCGCCCAGCTGGGAAGCCAGGAAACGGCCTGAGCTGGAGCGGCAGAGCCTCTGCGGGCCTGGTCCCGACTGCTGCGCACCAGGGAGCAGCCGAGGTATGCAGTGTGCCCGGGACACGCACTGCAGACAGCGCACACCTCACACTCTCGCACACAGAGGACCACACGGTACACCTTCACACACAGGCACACTCACATTCGTACAAGCAAACAACCCTACACACAAGCACAAGGGTTCACCCAGAACGTACATAAGCACACGACTTCACCACACACGGGCAACACACCCTCACGCAGACACACGCGCTCACTTGCACCCCCCAACGCTCACGCTCACTCCCCTCCTGAATGCATGGTCCTGGCCCAGCTTTCTCAGCAGTGTGGCCCCCGGCGGCGGGGTGGCATCCTCTGGCAGTAGGAGCTGTGTGTAGTGCAGGCCACACACTGGATGTGGCTTGGCCAGGTGCCACGTGCTCTCCAGTCGAGCCCTTGCGCTGGGGAGGAAGGCAGCGTGGCCTGGGTTCCCGGGCCCCTGGCAGGGGTGACGGCCCCTCTTGACCTGCTCAGGATGCATGTGGTTCCACGGGAGCTGTCCTTGCAGGGGCACAACTCATGCTTGGGAAGGTGACACGAAGTCCCTTAGCCTGCACACCACCTGTTCTCCGTCCTCCACCACCACGGGTAGTGACTCCCCTGTGTAAGAGTGAGCCCCCCAACTCCTGGCCCCAGCACCAGCTCCCTGTGCCTCGAGCAGAATGGTCAGTGGCCAGGTGATTGCTCCTTTTGGGATGGTGGTTGTCTTCACCCAGGTGCCCCCAAGGACAGCTGGCTCCCTTCCGCACCCTCCCCCTCCTGGCCTTAGGCACATGCCCCTGTGCTCACGGCGTCCTGGGTGACTCCAAGATCTCACCCCTCTGCGCAGCACAGCACCTCCAGCCCTTGACTCCGACCGATAGTCAGAGCAACATCCCGAAGAGGTTCACCCCCTGGCTTCCTAGAGCTCCTGCTGTCAGGGTTCTCCCACAGTCTGTGCCTCTGGCTGGAGCCCCAGGTGGCCAGGGAAAACAGCAGCTGCTGGTCCTAAATGTGGACCAAACGTCCTTGCCAGGAGCTGAGCGGCCACAGCCCTGCACTTTGCCTCAGAGCATCGGGCGGTTGCTGGAGAGCCCCCCACACTGTTCTGAGTAAAAAGAATCAGGCAAAAGAAGGATCTGAAAGGACGAGATCAGGTGGCTGAGCATCCCCAGGCTGGGCAGAGTGGCTTGGGCGGGAGCCGCGGTGGCAGGCTGACCAGGGGCTGAGACGTGAGGACAGCAGGGCATCTGTCCAGCTCGTAGGGGACAGTGAGACAGCAACGGGCTGTGGGGTTTCAGGTGCATGGAAGGCTCCTTGCAGAGAAGGATGCACAGGGAACCGTTGCAGAGACCCACCTTCACCTGAGACAGGTGAAGACAGTGACCTCAGAGTGACAAGTGACTTCAAGGTCAGGCCACCACCGCTCAGTGACAGTGTCGGAATCTACCACTGAATAGTGGGAATGTTGTAGAAGATGAGCCTGTTAAAGGCAATTAAACATCAAAAAATTGAGCGTCTCGACATGATTTCAATGGATCAAAAGATGTCTAAGACCTGTACATGGCCCCACTCCACTCCCGCATCAGCAGGAAGAAAGGGCAGCAGCCGTGTCCCTGCCACTGACCCAGAGCAGGCACCTCTGGGACGGCCTTTGTCAAGGATCAGCTTGAGGCATGATCATGGTGTGGAAAGGGCAAGTGCTTGGCCCAGGGACACAGCTCGAGAAGGTCCCTTGTGGCCCCACAGCTCCCCTCTCAGGAAGAGAGACTCAAAGTCCCAGGACCTGCAGGTGCGGGAGCGGCTCTGGGCGCAGTGCTGAGCTGGCTGCCAACGCGGGTGAACGCAGGGGAGTGGTTTCCAGCGGGGCTTTGTGTTTATCGTTTCTATACTGGAAACAGAATTGAATTCATCGCAGCCACAAAACAAAGACAGCTCTGAGTTATACTGGAACTTGCAGTGGGAGATTTATGAATATTATTTTCCTGTAAAATTCAGCATTTTTCTTGTTGCGACTCACAGCCCGTAAGTGGCATGAAGCCGTGCACCTCGCAGGACTTCTCCCCGACTCCCGGCTTCCGCTGGCACTTGGGCACTCGGGCTGCCAGTCCCCGTAAATCCTGCCTCTGTGCCTAACTTGTCCCAGCAGCTCACCATATCCAAACTTCATAAGTGGCTGCCTCTCATTTAAAGGTCTAGTAAAACTGCAATGACCATGGCTGAGGACGCCTTGTTTCAGAAAGTGCATTAAATAGTTTTACAGGTGTGGTTGGAAACCCTTGTGCAGTTATATTTACAAAAGTGAATGAGCTCATTAATAATGGGACCCCGGGACAGAACGGCAGTTTAGGGGCTATGAAAAGTCCTTGGGTCTTTGAAGCTCATACCTGGACGTGATTTTTGAAGTCAGAATCATTTCTACCTCATTTAAAAAAAAAAAAAAAACTGGGGTGTAACTTTATAGTCAGCACAATGTTCCGGTGACACTGGGCTGTGGCTTCCAGAGCATACTTCTGCATGAGGAAGGGAAGCCAGGATTCCTCTGAAAATAAATTAATGAGCCCAGGCAGGAAGACGTGTGCAGCCTGGGTCAACAGCTGCACCGCCAGGGAGCCTGGGCGGCCCCCTCTCAGACCCCATCCACCACCAAAGTCACCAGGCTCTGAGGTGACTGCTCTCCAGGGTCCTCCTATCACATCCCAACTGTGATGGACTTCCTCACACCACCTGGACCTGGATGGTGGCCCACCTTCAGACATGGGGAGACAAACGCTCCTGAGTGTGAGTGAAGGAACAGGCGCCAGACCCAGCTCTCCGTCTTCAAGATGCTGCCGGCCAACAGGCAGTTTCTGAAGTACATTTTTTTTTTTTTTGAAAAATGAAATCTCAGATTTGCTGTAAATTCAGGCTAGGGAGGATCTAGCAGATGGGCAATGTTTAAGTTGCAAACCTAAGGGAAGCTTTTGCGTTAAAAAAAAAAAGAAGAAGAAGAAGAAGAAAACACTCTTAAATTGCAGCTCTTAAAATAAAGAAAGATTTTCTGTTTTCCATAGTGACTCACTAACCCTTTATTTAGACAGTTGGTAAAAACACCACATCACATATTTCACATGTTTTCCCCCCAATGCTGCAGCTTAAAATGGTATCACTTCTTTTTTCTTCTAGAAAGAAGTAGAAATCTACAGTAAGGCTTTTTTACCTTTTTAAAAAAATGAAACCTCCATGTATTTGGGAACAGTTAACATTCCCGGTCAGACCCTCGGCGGAGCACCCCCTGGTGCACATGCGAAGAAGCATTAGGGCTCTTACGGGGTTTTGTGCACTTGCTGTTCAACAGTTCCCAGAGATGAATTTTAATGCTCATTCAAAAATACAACAGAACATAATGACCTGGAATCCATCATCTAACTGTGTGCAGTTCTCCTGCTTCTCTCAGTGAGTTTCCAGTCAAGGAGATGGTGAGGAAAGCATGCACCCTGTCTGCATGGCGGAGCCGCTGTGGCCCGGGGTCTCTTGGCCGATGCCACAAAGTCTGAACTGCAGCCACCCTCCTGAGGCTGGGCGTCCTGGGCGTGAGAAGAGCACCAGGGGGGCCCTGAGCATTCAGCGGCCCTCGCAGAGCCGCCAGGGCGGGTGTGGGGGTCTGGTGTGTGCTCTAGGGCCCACCAGCCTGCAGCCCCAAGAGCATCGCAAAAGCCGACCTCAGAGGCAGACAGTTCTTCCTGAGGAGTGAAAGCCATAGGTCCTCACGCATGCACGTGGAGGGTACAACATGCGCAACACGGCCTATACACGCGCATGAACACGTGTAGAATATAAAAACAGACCCATGCTGTGCAGACATATGCACACTCCCGTGTACACGTGTGAACGCACACTCCCATCTGCACACACACAGACACTTGTTCTCTTGTCCCCTCTCCCCATGTGATGGCATGCAGGGAAGGGGCAGGAGCCACGCCTGCTTCCCAGGCACCCCAGGATGGAACGCCTGGTAGTTCCCATACAACAGTCCCAACATCTTACTTCAGCATTGTCCTGCCACCCACTGTGTCAAGCCAG